CTGGAGAAGTTTAGGCAGGACTAAAACCAGTGCTAATCTAGATCATGAGGAGTGTTAGAGTGACGCAGCAGCTTTGCAGAAGGCCCACATGGCTTTAATTTGGGAGGTACCAGGGAAGAGCCACACACCAAAAGGTCAGGCAGCAGTTGTTGTACCAGTTGTAAGCCAGATGGACCCATTCTGCTGTGGGATGCCTTCTCCAGGGAGGTGCTGCTGCTGCTGCAGCAGCATGGAGCAGTCAGAAGCAGTACAAAATTGTATCTATAATGCACTAGCCCAGCTGCCAGCACCACAGTGACCAGCTCTAACAGCCATGGATAGATGCAAGAAGGAGGGATTTGCCTTCCTGGAGCTTCTTGCAAGGCTGGTGTGTGCAGAGAGGAATCAAAGTATGTGGTTTTAATAGAGAAACACCAGCATAAAATTTGACAAATTCTTCCGTTCAAGCAATTTGTCTTTCTTTTTAGCCAGAATAATCACTTCACACCAAGTCAACCGAGAAAAACAGAGAGTGTCTCCTGGTACTGGCTGTCAAAGCTCAAGTAGCAATGCTAATTTTGAAAGTAGAAGGGAAAGGGAATGAGGTCAGGAGGCAATTGCCCATTGATCCCATCTGCATGGCACTAGGCAGACACTCCCCTGGGCCTCACTTTGCAAGTCTGTCATTTCCAGAAATGACAATGAGTCACATTTGCCCCATGTCTCATTTAAAGAAACTGAAAGAATTAACTGGTAAGGAACTGGGAAAAGCTTGTTGTGAGTCATGATATCAGAGCCACAGCTGCATAGGCACAGGAAAGCCCACATGGCTGTTCCCAAACTGCAGCCCAGGGGCAAAAATGTCCCTTAAAATCTCCAGAATCTGTAATCAGTGAGAATCCAGCGCTTTCAGAAAGGCAAGAGGTGATCCAAGGGAGATACTGAGGGTTCAAGATGTTCAGTGGCATAATGAGATGTCCAGTCATTTGTACAGCTGGTTTTGACTGGGTTTGTCTTCACCCACAGTGTGTGCTCTCAGGTGGCCTGGAAACAGGCTTCAGAATAAGTCATTAAGAAAACATTGTCCAACACCCACAGTCGCACTGTAACAGAGACATTATAGGTGAGAAGGGAGAGTTGTTAATTTCCTGAGTTCAACCAAGCTGGCGAGCACGAGTTAAATCTCCATTGCTCCTCTAAAAGTTATGGTGATGAGAGAAAGATACTGGAATACATTCCTTCCCAGTCAGCTCTTACTTAATCTGAAGTGTAAATGCTGGAGAGCCTTGGCCTGTGGCAAAACAGCAGAGGTAATCTGGCACTTCTGCTGTGCTTTCTTAATTACCTTCAAGTTTTGGGTTTTCTAAAGCATGTTTTGGAGAATAGCAACAAGTCTCCCCATGCTGGTGTTTTGCCCCAAAGTATTTACATTAGTCTCAATTTTGTGTAATTTTCTGTCTGGGATTTTTCCTTCATTTTCTCCCCTATTTAAGCCTGCTAAACACAGAAACCAAAAAGAAGGGAGATCCAAGACCTCCCTAGAACCAAGGAGCAAATCCACAAAGACAGTTTTTAAGGCAACATTTTTGCTGTGGCTTTACTACCCTAGCTCTGCCTGGCCCAGGGAAGCAAGGCTGTGCTGAACCTGCAGGTTCATGACACTCACCTTAGGCAAAGGCTCCCTCCCTTCTACAGCTGCAGTTGTCAGTCAGTTTATTAGTTCACTGAACTGAGACCTCCTGCTTTTGTACATTGACAGGTGAAACTGTGGAGGATAACATGGTATGCAGTCTCTGTCCTCTCTTCAGGAGGGGGTATTCGGTTTGCTGCACAGAAAAGTGCCTACACACACCTGGGCAGGAAAGGCAAAGAGAGGGAGGGGAGCTGGGAAGGCTGCCAGCTGCAGCCTGAGGGAGCAGATGGAGATGCAGTTGTTGGGGTTAGAGAAATGCAGTGAGTGGGAGGCACCAAAGGAAAGCTCAGCCATAGAGAAAGGATGGAAACGGTGGAAAGGAAGAAAAAGTTCTCTTTGCAACTGTCTATAAGCATCAGGAATTCCAGAGCATTGGGAGGCTGTATTTGGTTTACATGGCAAGGTTCTAGTAATGGGGGCACTACAGAGATGGCTTCTGTGAGGAGCTACCGGAAACCTCTCCCATGTCTGACAGAGGCAATGCCAGAGGGTTCCAGAATGGACCTGCCACTGGCCAAGGCCAAGCCACTCAGAAATTGTAGTAATGACCCTGTGATAATATCTTAAAACAGGAAAAAAGTTATTGCAAAGAATTAACTGTGGCCGGAGAAGAGAGCAGCAAGAATGTGAGAGGAACAACTATGCAGACACTGACAGAGGTGAGGAAGGAGGTGCTCCAGGTGCCAGGACTGAGATTCCCCAAGCTGGAACAAGTGGGTGCCTGAGAGGAGGCTGTGACCCTGTGGGAGGCTGCTGCTGGAGCAGGAGGCTGGCAGAGACCGGTGGATCCATGGAGAGAAGATCCTACACTGGAGCAGGTTTCTAGTAGGACTTGTGACCCTGTGGAGGACCCACAGTAGAGCAGGGGAAGGACTCCTCTCCCTGAGGAGAAAGCAGCAGCAGAAATAACATGTGATGCACTCACCATAACCCCCACTCCCCATCTCCTACTGCACCACTTGTGGCAGGAGGTAGTGAACTGGGAAAAAAGTTTAGCCTGGGAAAGTAGTAGGGGTAGGGAGAAGATGTTTTTAGGATTTGTTTCACATATTTCTCTGATTTTGACTGGTAGAAAATTCAGGTGAAGTATGTTTTGCCTGTGATGGCAAGCAGTGAGTGATCTCTCTCTTGTTAGATCCTGAGTCTTTCCTTATGTTTTGTCTCCCCTGTCCATTTGTGCTTTGGTGGGCACCTGGCATCCAGTCAGGGCCAACCCACCACAGAGGTCCAGCTGTTTGATGAGGAATAGAGTAAGACAGGGGCATGGCTATTCCACTGGAGAGTGCAGGCCATGGGTAGCTGGAAACCTCCTTCAGGGCTAAGATATGCTTAAGGCCTCTCAAGCAGATGTCATAGTTGCAGTCACAAACCCATTTCATGTTCCTTTCAGGTGGGCCCTGGATGGCAGACTGAGGTGATGACTGAGCTGTGTGATATTCTGCTCCCTATGGAAACTGGACCTGTTCTACTAAGTCCAAAGGAAAAAACTTGTTTGATTAAAGGAAATAACACACAAAAAATGACCAAGAAAATAAGCAAAGGATGAACATTCTACCCCATACGTATCTACCTCAGCTAGTGTGGTGTTCAGAGCTGCTGCTGTGTTGGAGGTTACATGATGCTGTGGCTACAGGTGCAGAGGTGCTGCCAGGTCAGAGCACAGCAGGAGCCCTTTTAACTCAAAAGTATGGCTCAGAGAATGGCTGACTCTAGGTGCCTCCAGAGATTACTAAAAGCCACAAGGTGATGGTCAGAAATTACGTGCTCTGGTTGCCTTATATGTCTTCTCCTGCAGCTCCTGGTCTGGGTAGCTGGATACCTGAAGAATGAGCTTTGAGACACCCTCCAGAATTCAACCATTACAATGCATTACTGTTAGCAGTCGTATCATGGGACATGACATGTATCCAAGGTATCTGTGACCAGCCTTTGCAACTTGGAATCTCAGGAATCAGACCTCCAGCCCTGCTCACCTTGCTGGCCACAGGCTGACACCCATCCAACCACCTCCTTGAACTGATAAATCCATCAGTTACAGTCATCAACTCCCCCACCTGCCCTGAAGCTGGGTCTTTCTGGGGCTGACATTTGAGAGTTGTAGCAAAAATGACAATGGCATGAATTTCAGACTTGGTAGAATGGCTCAGAAGATGAAATATCTGCCCATATCTTATAATTTATACTTCCTGACCAAATTTACAGTTGGTGTGGGGGAAACCCAATGCAACTTGCATGTCATATCTTCCACTTTGCTATGTCACACTGGAGAAAAGGAAAACGTAGAAATTACTTTAATGCAGAAACAGAAAGTAACCAGTTCACATCAGGACAAGTGAGAGAAGTTCACAGCTTTTGTGTGTCACCTGCTATTTGACTTCTGGTAACTTATGCATCTGCCAGATCTACCTGAACGACCTATGCCAGAACCTCAGTCACACTGACTGAAGGGAAAGAAATAATAGGCTGCTGAGAACAACAATGGGCCTTTGCCTCCCTTAATCTGGAAGATGTGCAGGGCCCAGGAAAAAAATTTTGAGTTTGCTGCTCTGTGTTAGAACTGTGGTTTTGTGCAAGGGCCATGTCTGTTTTACTTCTGCGAGGAACTCCAAGACAGAGAGGGAGAAGAAAGGGAACATTCTCAGAAGAAAAAAGAAAACCTGAACACAATCCTGAAGGTTATTCAACCAGTGCAAAGCACCCACTTTTATTCCACACCCTCTGGATAATTAAGCACAATCAGTCTCAACTATCTCCTTTCTGAGCACTTCTGAAGGCACCATTCTGAGACACTCAGAGCTAGAGGAACAAAAAGCTTAGAGAGAACAAGTAGACTAGTCCCTATACCACATATTCAAAACACTTTTCCTATGCTCCTAAGTTCAAATTGACATAGAAAATTAAGAATACCCTCAAACATCTATAAAATCATTAAAGGCACACACCATTTTGTTGTTCTACTTCCCCTCTGCAATTCATCTGGAAAGCATGAAGTTTATTGCAACAGTGCTACAAAGTTTCCCATGAAGAAATCTGTCTTTAGTGGAAATCTGCAAGAAATGGTCTGACTAGCATGTGTGAAACACAGCCTGAAGCCATGCACAACATGGAGATTAAAAAGCATTAAACAACTCCCAGAGCACTGAAGAAGGCACGGTTCACATTTAGAAGTCACAGTAATCCTACACCGAACTGGTCATAAACCTAAGTGCCAAGACACAACAGCTCCAACAAGTGTGCTTACAGCTTCCTTCCCCTCCCCCAGCTCTGTCATGGCTCCGAAATCCTAGCATTCGTTATCTTAAACCAGAGAAAAATCATTCCCTCTTACTGTTTCTTCAGTGCCAGACCTGGAACCCACGCACTCTAGAGAAAAGACGGGGTCCAGCTGCGTGTGAGCTGGCACCGCCGGCACCGCCGCGCTCCTCAGCTCCCACTCCAGCTCGGCATCCTCGCAGCCTTCTCGGTGGGGCTTGGCACTCACTCCGCCCAGCGACACCGCTTTGAAAGGATGCATCCGGAAGGCAGGGCTGCCTTCCCAGAGCACGGGAGCTGTCAGCTGGGACTTCGGAAGTGTTTCCAGCACGTGCGGATGTTTACCGAGTAGCTCTCCTTCGGGAATCTGTCAAGATGTATCAATGTGCATTAAGAACATTGATCATAAGAAAGAAAAATAAACGCCTTAATTCAGCAGATTTACTCCAGATGTGGTTCAGAACAGTTCTATTTGCAAAAACGTTTTACTGTGACTCGTTCTGTTGAACCACAGAAGTCAAAATATGGGTAACTGGAGACCCATCCCACAGCGCTGATGACTCTAGTCAGCTTTTCTTAGCAAGGGCCTGAAATCTGATATCAGAGCTGGCTGCAACTGCACTCATATATACAGGGAATATATCTATATATAGAGATATAGATAGATATATATATATCGATATTGATACATATCTATCTATTTATCAATAGACAGACAGACAGACAGACAGACAGATAGATAGATAGATAGGGAAGTTATCCCAAAGAACAACATTTTTACAAGAAGTTCGTCCCTCCTTGCACTTCGGTGTGTTGACACAATCGAAGGAATCAGTGTATCAAGCACGATTTAAAAGTACTTTTTAAAAGCCCAAATCTCTATGCCTTAAGCCGACTTTTAAATTTCTTGCTGAAATAATAAAAAACACAGCCAAAAATATGAATATAAAGCAATTTTAATTTTCCTCTAGATATTTATATCAAAGAAATAATACTCATGTCCAAGTACTGTACATACAATATCTTCCTTATAAACTCTGTGGTTTAAAACACATGTACAAAATTGCACATTGCAGTTTGCAAAAAATCATAAATACATTTTTGCATGTAAACAATTCCAGCACAAGGATCAATGTTATACATTCCAAAATGTCTAAGTGTCTGCTCACAAACAAAAACAAACAAAAACCCCACTGTGATCTCCATAAAGGTCCTAATGTTACAAATCAATCATTAACAGATTTCTAACTGATGTACTACACACAGGGATACATAAATGAGCACAAGGCAAGTCGCCTTTTAGTCATAAGTACTTAAGACAGAGGCTTGGAATACAATCCTGCTGCCATTTAAACCCACGGTATCCATCCCACAGTATTTAGTGGTAGCAGCATTGAGTTAATTTTTCCAAGATTGCCAATTGCAGTATGCCTTACTTTCAATTCTCAAACAAGTTGGCTACCACTGAACAGTAGGAATTTTATAATTATTGTAAACACAGTTATCACTGTTGTATATTCAGTAAGTTACAGTATTCTCCTAAACACATCACTAAATTAAGAAAATGTTTTACATTTAATCAAGTGCAAGATGCCCACTAGTATTGTCCACTTTGTCTCAGAAATAAGTATTTTGAATATAATACAATTAGTAAAAGTACTGTAAAAAATTACAATGGACATAATCCTCAGTTGTATATTATTAAGCCCTGTAGCTTGTTTACATTTTAAAAAATCACCACATCAGAAAAAAGGTCTCAGAAGTGTCCTTTAAAATCTCTCCTGACCAAATCCAGCAAATGAGTAGCTACTGAATTTTGTTTCACTACTATCTCTGTCTGTGTGCAATGCCCTTGCCAGCATACCTGTTTAAAGACTTCACAAAATCAATATCCATACAGAGTTATTTCTTTTGTTGTCTGGTTTGGGTTGCTTTTGTGTTTTTGTATTTCTTTGGGTTTTTGTTGGTTTTTTTTGGTTGGGATTTTTCAATCTGTTCACATGCTGCAATTTTATAAAATTCTACCAAAAGCAGAAATTTTTGAAGGGTTTCTCAGAGGCTTCCTCTGTGCCAGCTAATTAGTAAGGCAGAATAAGAAGGTACATAAATAAGAAGGTACACATAAACCCAACTTAAAAAAACCCAAGAAAGGATGTAGGCAGACACCCACCCACCAATTAGTTGCATGTAAGCTGCTGGAAGAGCAAAGCCCAATTTGAACTTCTTGGCTTCCACCTTTCATTTCGAAGAGCTACCCTGAAGGAGAAAGTTTCAGTGCCACGCCTGACGGCCTGCAAAGAACCAGCATGGATTAAAGAATTTAGGAAGCAGCAGTTTGCTCGCACTTCTTGGGACAAAAAGAGAGCTTGGGGATGCTGGTGGTGACACAGCAGGGAGGGGATTCTTGCCCTTTACAGGAAATCCTTTTTTCTGTTAATCAGCATGTGGCATGAATCCCAGTAAAGACCACAGAACGTGCGTGATACCACCAGCAGCCCCAGCCCATGATATTACAAGGTATTGTGATTACAGTAATGCAGATCATGGAGAATTTTCTGCATCACAGAAGCTCAGCAAGAACCAGAAACCACCAAGAGTTTTCAAAGTTGAGTCCCATTGCCCAAGAGCTCTCCTTTATCTGATGTGAGTTAGTTACTCCGTTGAACTGATAGAAAGACATACTGCACTAAGGGTGATAAACTTCATCTTTCCCAGTCTGCACCTACATGGAGCTACTCCTTTCTAAGGGGATCTCTCATGAGTCATACAAGATTAGCCATCACAAACACCACACAATGAGGGCACACGTGTGGTCCCCCAAACCTCAGATTGATATTTCACTATAGGCAGAAACTGCAGGAGCAACAGGCCAGCTTTAGATGAGCCACTACAGGAAAGAGAAACTGCCCTGGAAGAATGTGCTACAACTCCACAGATGGAAAAACACAGAAAGCTGAAGAGCTACTTCACGAAGACTTACTTAGCGATACAGACCCAGCTGCCTTTCCTGGTAAGATGCTGCACAGGGAGTCTAAGAATTACCTTCAGATATCATAAAGTAGAGGTAATCTAACAGATTCTGAGTTTTAAGGCCAAGGAGGCTCAGGGCCATTCACAGGTACTGCAACCTCTTCATCTCTCCACCCTTCTCCCCCTTCTCCCCTTTTGACCTTAAGAAGCCAGTGTATACCTACTCCTGATTAGAAAGAGTGTGAGTGGCAAAAATCAGTGGCTACATTTTGGCGTGCAAGAGGCCTATGCAGACTTGCCTATCATTTTCTATTTAAAATTCAGGAATTGCACAATACTATATTGCAACACTTACTCCCTTCCCTTTGTCCTGTACAAAGTAGCAAAGCACAACAAAAGCAAAATCACTGTTGGGAGTGTTTAGATTAATGGCTCACATGTCAGAACTGCACTAAGCCTCTCTGTAATTAACACCACTTTGCAATAAAGCAAAACAATTCTCCAATATATACTTGTGTTGGGATTTTTGTTTCAGGTTTGGTTTTGATTCTGTGGGTTTTTGGTTTGGTTTAGGTTTTTTTCTTGGAGGGGTGGGTGGGACAGTTAATGAAGCCTGAATATTTAATCTGTTACATGAGGAGGAATGCTCAAGGGGCTCGCAAGAACTTGTTTTGCTGCACGTTGAGCAACACCACATGGCAAAGCCTTGAAATTAGAGCAAATGCTTGAAGTTACGAAGGGCGTAGCTGCCTTTTGGAGCTCGTCCTTCATGGGCTGCATTTTATTAGAGAGCAGACCTTTGCATCACTAGTCAGCACGCAGATCTGGGCTTTACTTGATGACATTTCAGTACGGTGGTTGCCATGGCTTTAAATAAATAAGAGTAAGTGTGAAATCACTAGTCATCAGGTCAAACAGGGAGGGGCACAGTTTCTAAAGAAGAGACATTTAGAAGACAATTAAGCAGTAATAACAAAACAAAGTTTAAAAGCATTCTGAACAGCAGACTTAATTATCTGCCACTTAAACATACAACAGACATTACCATTAAATACTGTTTCAGAGATAAATATTACTTTTTCCTCGTATTCTGCTTCTTTTTTTTTTTTTTCTTCATGCTGGTGCTGATAACTTTGACTTTCACCTTTAACTATATACCAGTGGGGAAAGGAATGAAGATGTAAATTTTATTAGACACAATTGGCCTGCTGAGAAAGTGGTATCATACCACGTTGACAAACTGGCTTGTATACTGGCAGTGATTTCACTTATAGGGTGCACACAAAGACTGTAAAAAATCACAAGGGTCTACAATACCATTTGAGTAACTGGCACAAAATGGTTTGGGTTGATAAAAACACTTTGGCAGCATTTTAGGAATCCCTATTCTGAAGGTATCATCTAGCAGACCATAAATAGGTGTCCTAGCTACTTATGGCCATAACTTATGTGACATTAGACGTCACAAGAACATTTAACTCCCTAATAGTATTTCCTCACTATTTCTGTCACCCTGTCATGAAGGATGTTAAAAGACAGAATGTTAAAAGTTAGAAAAATCAAAAAATTCAAACTCTGGCTCTACTTGTGAAGAACAGCAAGTTATACATCAGTATCTCCTACTGCTCTCTTTCCATAGTTGTTACTAGGGAAAAAGAAGGAGACTATCCAAAATACACTCTCTGGAACAGAACACTAACTTTATTTGACACTTCTCCATTGCTTGTGTCCTGTTACAAGAAAATCTGAAGGTTTATGAAACAGAAGTGTGGGAAAGATTGTCAAGTTCAGTATGTTATCTTCCAAATTACTCAGCATGTACCAGAAGACTATCTTTAGTTAGTCAGTTAGTTAGTTATTAAGTTAGTTTAAAACTGTTAGTTCTTAAAGGTCAATTTTCCATATGAGGCAGAAGGGACACATCCCTTGGGGCAGCAGGAAGCTCTCCGAAGAGGACAAGAAAATGGTATCAACCACTTCCTCAGAATTCAAGCTACTGGTCATGATTTTTCACCTGTTCAGTCCATTGTTTAAGAACAGGGATGCAGTGAGAACCCTGACTCTTATCAGTATCAGTTTTCTTCATCTATGACAGAAGTAATACCACAGTCGTACAACCATTGATTGCAACTGAACAGTTGCAAGACATGCTTCAAGGTACTTATTAGAAAGGTTTTCAAATTTAGTCAAATAAATTTTGAGGTAAAACAGGACCCAACCTAAAAAAGTAATTTGACTTGCAAAACCAAAACACAGACTGCGACCAAAGACTTTTTTTTGCTCCCTTTAGTATGGGATGGGAGTCTGCTACTGATCTCCATCAAGAAAGCTCTCCAGACTGCATGGACTCTATTCAGGTGACTTACAATTCCACTCATACTTGGTTCTTAAGTAACAGTAGTAGTAAATCTTATCAGCAGTGTGCTAAATAACAGAATCTAGCAGTGTATTAGTGCAC